TTTTCTGGGCAGGTGTAGTTTGGGTTTGTTTTTTTTTTATTTTTAAGTAAGCTCTGCGCCCAACGTGAGGCTTGAACTCATGACCCTGAGACCAAGAGTTGCATGCTCTACCAACTGAGCCAGCCAGGCACCCCTGAGCAGATGTAGTTTTTAAAAATTGCCTGTAACATCCAATCCCTGTTTACTATTAAAGTTGTCTTTATTAGAAATGAAAACTTAGAGAACTGGAAAGATATTTCTTTGGGGATAATATTTGCTCCAAGACCTAAGATTATTTTTAAAGAATGAAGCAAATCTTTAGAAATTTAGACTCTTGATAATAATAGTGAGGATGACCCTTTTGGTCTTCTTAACTCATTACTGAGGTAGAGAGGAGAGAAGAGGGGCCTAAGGTGTGCATCATGTGACTTGCCTAAGATGACAGAGCTTCGTAGCAGCAGTGCTGTTTCTAGAATTCCTGCAAGTTGTTCCCAGGGCAGGAGGCTCTGGGAGGAGTCCCCAGAGCCTGTGACAGCTGACCTGTCCCTACTTTAAAAGTCAGTTTGGCAGATGTTTCATCAGGGTCCATCGGCAATGAGGAGCTCCTGCGAACTTCTTCTTGGGGTGGGTGTGGTGCTGCCAGATCCAAGGCTGGAAGGTCAAGGGGACAAAGTTGGTCAGCTGTGCAAGAGCTGACATGATGGGACTCTGCTCAGACCCCATTCCATCCCCAGCTGCTTCTGCTCTCTCTGGAAACCTCTACCTCATTCCCCAAAAGAAGCACTCAGTTCGCAGCTCAGTTCAGTCTGTTCAAGAACCAGGGCCTCACTTCGCTTCCCCTGGGAAACACATTGGTGCACATTTTAACTTACTACGCTCTGAAAATGATTCTGGGAGACAACTTGGTCACGTTTACATGTTTACTAAGTACTGAGCTCTTGTTATGTGCTAGACCTTGCCCTAGGCACATGCAAAATTGCCATCAGCTGGTGTCAAAGCAGAAAGACTTCAGGTGGTACCCAAAACAAAAACTGAACTAAACACAGTCTCATGCATCTAAATTTCTCCACTTGCCCCTTGGAAATGTTTGCCTTCAAGGCTGCCTTCATAATTCAATTTAAATTAAACCTATCTGGGGGTACCTGGCTGGCTCAGTCAGTAGAGCATGGGATGCTTGATCTCAGGGTTGTGAGTTCGAGCCTCATGTTGGATATAGAGATTACTTTTTAAAAAATAACAATTAAAACTAAAAAAAAAAAAAAAAAACCTATCTGGTAAAGAGGTTTGGGAGGAAGGCACAGTAAACATGGGACAATTTGACTTGACCATGAAGGTTTGGAATCCTTTCAGAGCCTTTCCCACTTTGCCTATCCAGAAGAAAATGCTGGGTATTTGGTTACAAGCAATCAGAATGTGCAAAATTAAACACAAATTGCCAGAGCACATTACCTAGGCTTATTGTCCTTCTCGGTATAATACCAAGTTTAAGGGAAAAAAGTCACGATGGCAATTTAAATGAAAAAGGTGTACTGGGTTGAATAGTTATTCAGTTTTATTGTTTCTCCGGCTCCCATTGCAGAAAGCCACACGCTTTGGATCCCAAGATGATATGGTTTGACCCACTATAACTTGAACTGGTGTTTTCAGAGTTGTGAAAAGCTTATGTGCTTCCCTTTGGCCTTTCTTACTCCTTGGTTTGACACCTGATACACAGGCAGAGCGAGGTTAGAGATTTGCCAGCCGCAGGACAAAGGAAAGCCAACCAAGGTGGGCCTCATGCCCTCATCACCAACCGCTTTGCTTTCACCTTAATTTCTTTTGTTGCAGATTCCAGCTGTAGATTTTTTGTTTCCTCATGTTCCGATTTCCTAACCCTGTGTGGCCATTGCTAACTTCCCTCATAAGAGTGGTTGAGCTGGATTCCTGGTTGGGAAAGATAGAAATAAATAGATATAAATCCCATAGGGATCATGCTGGGACAAAGAGTTTTTGCTGGGTCTTGGAAGGAATGGAACGTTCCCCAAAAATGAGTCGTTGGGAACTACATGTTGAGAGAGTTCCACCACTTATGACCTCTGTTGAGCATATTTCCTCCACTCCTCTGGGCATGTGTTTTGGCTTACTATTATGGTGGATTTGGTACCCTCAAATTACATCTTCTCTCCATTTACTTGTCCTTTACTAAAAGTATTATCGATTTTTAGAAATGTAGACGATGGTTGTCCATGAGCTCCTCTTCTCCTTCTTGCCCCACCACTTATGATATTGATCTGCAAGGCCTTTATTGTTTCTTCCTTAAACTCCTATAAAAGATCAGAAGGTTCTTATGCTTTTATTATTTCTCTTTATTCACTGCCAACCTTATGCAGAATAGCCATCATTTAGTGAATGCATACTATGAGAGACACTTTCCATCCCTTCTTATCAATCCTCACAATGGCCTTATGAAGAGGGCGTTAATCCCACTGTACACAATGACAAAATGGAGGTTTAGAGATGTTAAACTAAGTTTCTTTTTTTTTTTTTTTAAGATTTTATTTATTTATTTGACAGAGAGAGACACAGCGAGAGAGGGAACACAAGCAGGGGGAGTGGGAGAGGGAGAAGCAGGCTTCCCGCTGAGCAGGGAGTCTGATGCGGGGCTCGATCCCAGGACCCTGGGAACATGACCTGAGCCGAAGGCAGACGCTTAGCGACTGGGCCACCCAGGCACCACATAAGTTTCTGAGCCTCTTAGGTAGGAAGTCGTGGAGTAGCAATTTGAATCCAGCACTGTCAGAATCCAAAATTTATAGCAAGACCAACGTGTTGTACAGACTGGATCCTGCCCATATGAAACAAGGGTGCATATAATGGTTTATAATTTGAATGAAATACTGGCCAACATTTAAAAATTCGGGTATTACATTTGAAAGTCTGGATTCCACCTTCTCTTAAAAAAAAAAAAAAAAATAGAAGATTGGGCCCACTGGGCTCATATTCCTCCAAGCGGTAGCCAGCCACTCCTAAGGAGGGCCACTTCCCTTCGTGGAGGCACGTGTTCTAAGGTGAACAGCTCCACTCATTCCCACCTCCATCTGGTTTATCTTATCACTTTACCCACCTGGGCCACCAGATTGGTACCTGTATATGTTTGATTTTGCAATCCTTATTCCAGTCTCCAGGAACAATCTGTTTCAGGACTTGAGTCCTGGCTTCCCCATCTGCTAACTTTGTGTCCTTGGACAAGTTACTTAACCCTTCAAGGCCTCAGATTTCTCACCTCTACAGTGGGGATAAGAATAGTACCTACCTTTTGAGGTTGTTTGGAAAGTTGCATAAGGTAATCCATATAAAGTGCTCTGCATGGTGTCTGGCACACAGTAAGATTTCTATAATAGTTAGGTATTACTGTTAACCATTATTCCAGTTAACCACTCCTTCCTCAGAAAGTAGTGTTCAGTAGCCTTTTCCAAGGTCAACCTAAATTGTAAAGTAAGCCATCAGAACCATTAGCCATGAAAGCACTGCTGTGTTGTAATAGGCAACAGAGTGTGTGGTTTTGACATTAGACTGACTTGGCTCAAGTTCCATCCCTGACATTATGGGGACCTGAGCTAATTATTTAAACTCGTTCTGACTCAGTTTCCTCATTCATAAAATAGGCATGATAATAGTACCTACTTTGTGAGATTGTGGTGAAGAGCAAGTGAATTAATGCATGTGAAATGTTTCCGAATGGTGATTGGCACATAATGTGCACCCAACGGATGATACCCCCTACTGAAAACAATAAATCAGAGCGTGCATTTGCTAAGCATGTGTTTGCTTCTGGGGAGATGCAGATAGACTATTTTGAATTGGATTGCATGGAAAATTGGGTAAATTGGAAGCTAAGACTCTTGCCTTCATTTCCTGCCCCCTCGATTCCCTGCATTCCAGATTCTGTTCCTTCCATCTTCCTAAAATTGCGTTTTTGAAGGCTCATCATCAAGTCCCACCAAAGGCCTCAGCCTCATCTTCTAGTGGGGGTAAGAATTTCAGAGATCAACTAGCCTAACACTGTCAATTCTCAGAAGAGGACGTTGAGGCTGAGAGAAGTCCTGTGGCTTGTCCATAGCTCATTTGTGACAGACCAAGAGTTATCCATCAACTTCATTGCTTGAGTAGTTGCTAGATGACAGTGGGTTTACGTTGATTTTGATTTGATAAGTCAGGGGTGGGACTGGGGACCCTACACGCAGCTGGTGTAGGAGCTCTGCTCTCTCCTCTTTCACCTTGTTCTTTCTGCCCCACGATCCTTGCTCTGTGAGGCGCTGGTCCAGCTGATACTGTAAGAGGACTGCTCTGTCTTCCCCAGTGGGACCTAGGCCCCGTGACCCTCCATAGCTTGAAGACCCTGTTTCCCGATGGGTAATGTTTTCCCTTCCCTGTGACTTGCCTCTCTGGGCCACGTTCCGATTTCCCTGCTGGCTCACTTGTTTCCTTGGGCTGGCTGCCTTGTTTGGCGGTTTTTAGTGAGGGCTCTGATAGATGCCAGGAGTGAGGGGAAGAGCTCCGAATGGGCTCAGTCATTGGACAGGCAGACCCGGTGATGGATGAGCCCTCTCCCCAGGGAGTTTTGGATCAGAAGAAGTCCAACTGATAAGCTTTTCCAGAACTGAGTAACCCAGAAACAGTGCCAGCAGCTTCTTACCTCTTTTGTGGGTTTCGTATTGATTTTAAAGAAAATTCTCAGTTCCACGTCTATCTAGAAATACAGCTCCATCCACGATAAACTTAGATACATGTGCTATGAATTGTTTTAGAGATAACATTTGAGGGGACGGGTGGGAGGAAGGAAGAGAGGGGTCCTTAAAAAATCCCTTTCAAAATATTTTCTTTCTTCTAAGTATTGAAAAGGCACAATATAACCCTTTCTTCTTCCAAATGATCTCATAGCTATTTATTGAGGGGAAATACCAAATGTTTATTTATTTTGTTTAAAGGAGCTTCTTTCGTCCTGATGATTCACGTGGATATCATTTTCCTCCCCACTACAGAGGCTCTGAGACAAAGCCACAGCCCAAGTGATATGCCTGTGTCAGACCAATTCCTGTCCTGAAGGAGGGTATGCAACCTTCTTTATTCCCCCTTCACAGACGTCCTTGAGCCCTTGAGACGGATGTGAGCGAGTTTCTCAGTGCTCATGCAAAACAACCATCTAAACATAACAGATGACATCAGCTTGGGCTTTTCAATTCCTGGATGGCAGCGGCGTGTTAATCCAGCCTTCATCCTGGATTTCATAAACTAAAACAAGAGAGCCTGGCAAGAGGACAGCGCTGCTGCTGGGTTGAGGAAATTGATGACGGGGAAGCATGCGGGCAACCCAGTGTATAAAACTCATAAACGTGTAGGCAGAGGCTCAGCTACCACTTTGGACAGCTGCTTCCCGCCAGCAAAGACCACGCCGCCCGCGGGAAGCCGAGCCAGAGCCCTCGGGGAACCATGAAGAGCCTCTTGCTGCTGGCCACGCTCCTGGTCCCTGCGCACCTGGCGGTCGCCTGGAGCACCAAGTATGCGGTGGACTGCCCCGAGCGCTGCGACAGCGCCCAGTGCAAAAGCAGCCTGCGCTGCAAGCGGACAGTGCTGGACGACTGCGGCTGCTGCCGGGTGTGCGCCGCGGGGCTGGGCGAGACCTGCTACCGCACCGTGTCGGCCATGGACGGCGTCAAGTGCGGCCCGGGGCTCAGGTGTCAGTTTTACAGTGAGGAGGATGACTTTGGTGACGAGTTCGGTATCTGCAAAGGTAAAGGGTGACCCCTTGCTTCTTCCCGCCCCCCCCCACCCGAGGGGGTGGGGGTGGAAGCACACTGAGGGCTTTTAGCCAGCGTGGGAGGTGCGGAGGCTTTGCTGCGAAGGACAAGAGGGAAAATGCAGGTGGCTTAGGGACAAGGCCGCGCACAGGTGTTGTCACCGGGAGAGAGAGAGAGAAGGAGAACTCTGCAAAACAGCAGCTGAAGCCAGTGTGCAGGAAAGCACAGAAAGCAGTACTGCCTTTCACTCCTTATGTGTAGGAGATTTAAGAAAAAAGTTGCAATGAAAAATTGTGGGACCTCCCTTTCTGGAAAACTTTAGGAACTTGACAGGTAATCTGTTTGGATGGTTTAGGTGCTCTCTCTTCTACAACACAGTGATTACAGCGGTCTGCACTAGATAACCTCTAGGGGTGTCTAGCCCTGGGCTTAGTGATTCTTTGATCTTGAAAGGGTCCACGGGTTGGAGGGCATCTCTCAAGATCAAATATTTCTGATGAACACTAATGCACTTTGTGAAATAGGGTGGGCTTAAACCATCTAACAGAATGACTCACATTCTTGAAAGAGGGTACCTTGAAGTATAAAACAAACCCCATTCCACTTTATAAAGGTGTTTGGTCAACTAGAAAAATAGCAGATGGTTTAAGACAAGTAAGAGTAACACTAAAGAAAAATAAAAATTGGAAGTCTGTAAAGAATGAGAGTTTACAGACTTAAAGAAAAATGTCATTAGTTTGAAATCATAGCTAAACAATGTAGTTGCACAGTTGTAGAATTTATTTCAGACTTAGTGACTGTAGTTTAAAATGTTTAGAATCAAAAGAAAGGTGATTTAAAGATACTCTATAAATGGATACCTCATGATCTCATCATTAAAAGCTATTATCAAGATGAAACACATATGCTCTAGCCCCATTCATCAGTTTTGTAATAAAAAGAAGCTTTTAGAACGATTAAAGGGACTGGGAAATTTATTTCTTATATTTTCTTTCTTATTTCATTCTTATCTTCTATGTATTTAATACAGTTGTATGCTTTTAGGAATGATAATCAGCCACCACTGAGACAGCCTCATTAATTCACCTACCTTTTAGACAAATATTTTATAAATTAATTTACCTTTTAATCTACAACGTATACTAAAGATTAGGAAATAAATGCTTGGACTATTAGGACAATCTTATTTTTTGCTCAGTTTATTTTTGTTTATAACCAATGAAAGGTAGAATATTGAGGAACCTTTTTTTTGGTGAACATTCACAAACATTTAAGCTGACTAGGATCTATATTTTCTGTAAATTACAGGATTTCACATAAGGAAATTAGGGAGGAAGTGGTTAATACAATCATACTTATGAGATAGCAAGTGTACACAGTGGATTGCTTTTTCTCTTGGCATAAAAATCGCCTCTGTAAATGTGATTGTAAATGCACTGTCATATATGGGTAAAGAAACATTCCAAGGCATCTGGGATCTTTAGCAGTTCAACATTCTACTGAATGACTGAGGTAGCTGTTAATGGGATAGATTTTTAAAATGTATTTAAAATTGTTCTTTTTGGCACGCTTCATATTACAAGCGAGTCTAGCTTCGAACATTTTTCTCTCTGCTGGAAATAGTGACCCTGTGTGAACCTCACCATCTCTACACAGAGACATTGAATTTTGCTGTAGGCAAACTCCCTCCTTCAGCTTTTTCACAGAGCACTCATAGGAAAACTGTATACTTTAGCTGCACATCCAGATGTTTTCTAAATATTCAGATGTTTGGCATTACGCTGCCCAGTTAACAGTCAGCCAGCCAACACGTATTTACGGAACACCTGCTATCCACCCAGCGCTATTCAATACACTGGGGGTTGCAGTAGAAGTGTAACTAAGAACTTGGCTCAAGTTTTAGTTTTCGGTATCACTAGACACACAGTCAAATCCCAATCCTGTGCGCTTTTATGCAAGAGGCTTTTTAGGATCCTTTTTAAGGACGGTCTTTCCCAGCGAGAGGCTAATGTTTAAAACCAGGCTCTGGGGCACCTGGGTGGCTCAGTCGTTAGGCGTCTGCCTTCGGCTCAGGTCATGGTCCCAGGGTCCTGGGATCAAGCCCCCGTCGTCGGGCTCCCTGCTCTGCGGGAAGCCTGCTTCTCCCTCTCCCACTCCCCCTGCTTGTGTTCCCTCTCTCGCTGTGTCTCTCTCTGTCAAATAAATAAATAAAATCTTTAAAAACAATTACAAAAAATAAAACCAGATGCCTCTGTAATCTGAAGAGTAATGGTAAGAAGAATCCTAAATCTCTTCCAAAAAATAAATTTCATTAACATCTACCTTGATCATTCTGTGGAATATTAGATTGCCAAGGGCTCAGCTGCTTCACTGCTTGTTTCTTTCCCCATGTGTGATTGTACACTTATGAGAATATTCTCATGCCAAGAGAATAAATATTCTGCATCTATTTTGCTTGGTTGGTAAAGACTGGGTCATCAAAAAAAAAAAAAAAGACTGGGTCATCAATGGAGATGCTGTTTATGTCATAAAGACCTTGCATTTGTAATAAATGGGTTTGTCCTCTTCTCAGTATTGCATGTTTTAGTCTAAGCATGAACACACTGAAGCTCTAAATGCTTCCAGATTTGTGGAGGTATACAGGTAAATTCTCAGCTCTCTTGTTCTTCTTAGCATGTTGCATGTCAGATTTGCAGAAGGTCTTACTAGTAAATCCTCCTGACATCCGGGGGAGTTAGGTAAATTGTGCTGCCATTTCAACAGCGAAGGTAGTTGATCAGAGCTGGAGCGGACTGAGGATGGATCACTTCATGGAGAGCAGGCATGACACCCTTCTCAGCCCCCGGCTAGTGTGGATGAAGCCCTTTCCTATACATTTAAAATAGTACATTGTTTGTGAACACAGTGGATTCAAAGGCAGCATCACATCCTTTAAGCTCTTTGAGAAGCTGATGCATGTGTCTGTTCAATTGCCCACCTCACTGAGCTGTCACGGGAGCCGTCTAAGGAAACTATGAGAACCTACCTGTCTATTGGTATCTAAGCAGAAAGGGAACAGAATTAAGGCTGGTCAAAGATGTTGGTTATGTGTAGCTGCCTTCAACTAAACTTCACGGCAGGCCACGACAGCGGAGGTGTCCTGGATCTGGTCTTACTGTGCGATTTCACATGTGTGACTGAAAGTTTCAACTTCCAAAGCTTGGGGTTTTTTAAGAACTGGATTTTTATCTGACAGTCAAGATTCGTGAGGCTTGTTCAGAATCTGGAGGCTTTGTGCACAGGGGCTGTGAGACTGGGGGCTTGTGCCCAAGGAGCGGCTCCCTCTCTAAACCTTCCCTTTGTCCTCAGACTGCCCCTACGGCACCTTCGGGATGGAATGCCGGGAGACCTGCAGCTGTCAGTTGGGCATATGTGACAGAGTGACTGGCAAGTGTCTGAAATTTCCCTTCTTCCAATATTCAGTAGCCAAGTCTTCCAACAGGAGATTTGTTTCTCACACAGGTAAGAATTGATTTCAGTGTAAACACTGGAAAAATAACCTCATTTTCAATTTGAATAACTTAAGAGATATAGATGAACAAGAATAAAGCATTGGTTCTAGTGATTTTGTTCTTTATTTTACTCAGGGGAAAGGGGTGGTGGTTGAGTTTGGGTTGCTGTTGCTTTTTTTTTTTTTTAAGATCTCAGTAATAATTTGGGAGATTATACATTTTTCCATAAAGTTCACCCAGTTTTATGGAGAATAAATATGATTGATTACCAAAACACCTGTAATAAGAAAATAACCAAGATATACAAAGTTCTTCAAATTCTTCAGTGATCTGTTTTATACACGTACTAGACTAAGCTACTTCTCTCTCAAGTTCATGTAGAAAAAATACACTCAGAAATTTATCGGATAAGGCTTAAGAGCCAAGATAGAAAATATAGAACATTTCTTCTTCTTTTTTTTTAACAAAATGGGAGTACTTAAATGGAATATTTCCAAACATGCATTTTTATGGATTTTGGAGAGGATAAGAGATAGTAACTGTGATTGAAATTTGGGAATTATCTCTAAGCCTTTGAATGAAACTGTAGTAATAGTCACATGATGCTTGTTCACGCATGTGTATTTCATATCCAGGTTGTTAAAATGTGAGAAATACAACATATAAGAGAGTGTTATGGACATATTTGGTTATCTTGTGGAATAAATGACCAGTATAGTAAAGCTTCACTAAATTGAAAGTAGCTCATTTAAAACAACATGTAGCCATAGAAACCGCTAATATCAACAAACTGTCCAGTCCCCCCACCTTAGATATAAATAGTTGACAATCCAAGTCCATTTTATTTAGTTTTTGTTTCTGGGTTTTTGCTCTTCGAGTTAACTAAGATTTGAGATATTTGGCAAATGTACTTATTACCCAGCTTTACCTCCTTCTTACACATGGATACAATTAAGTACTTTAAGAGGAAGAGGAAATACTGTACTTTTAAGTGAATTTTTATGTTGAAGTGTGGCTATGCCCTTAAACAGTAATTTAAAATGAACCTCCCCCCCTTTTAAAGCTATTAGGTAAATATCTTTGTGAATATTTGATCTGGAAATTGAGATCATCATTAATATTTTAAGTACTTTTGACTTGTCCTATAGTCCTTGAAAAGCGACATGGAAACAGATTGAGTTTTAAGTCCTAAAAAAAAAAAATTCGTCGTGAGGTGAAATTTACATAACATAAAATTAGCCATTTTGAAGTGAACAGCACAGTGGCAGTTAGTACATTAACAAAGCTGCATAGCTGCCATTTCAGTCCAGTTCTAGAACATTCTCACCGGCTCAAAATAAAACCCTACTATCCATTAAGCAGTTGCCCCCATTCTTCATAACCCACCCCGCAGCCCCTGGTAACAATCAATCTACTTTCTGAGACCTACACATTTTTGGAATGTTTTGATTACTTCAGTACAAGTTTGAAACCTATTGTCTTAGCACAGGTAGCTGCCTCAAACACTTGCATCTTCTTTTGTCTTATTTTGCTTTCTTAAAACTGCGGGCTACAGAGCACTTTGAAGAGCCACTTTTGTATTCCTCCTCATTCGTTTATGGTTGCACATAAGCCTTTCCCACCGAGAGAGAATTGAGTCCCTTGTGAATCTGGTGTTTGGGATGAATGTTCGGGAGGCCATGAGAGCTCCTTTGGAATAATCCTCAGGAAGGGAACGCCCATCCCTCCCACTGCACACCCAGCCACACGTCCTCTTCTTCACTGGACTTTTGTGCCGTCTCTTTCCCTTGAGCCTGTCACCCTCTGTCATTTGCATGCAGATTTTGCAGATATCTTGACTACTATATAGATGCCTTGGACACAGATATTTTGCTGACTGGAAGTTACATTAGGGGTTACACAAAAAAATATTTCTATACCCAAATTAGGTATCAAGATTCTTAGTAGAAATTGATGGGGAAAGCATTTTCTGACCTAAGGTGTTTGCTTTCATTAGCTAAAGGGGAGCAAAAGATGATTACTAGCGTAATGTTGGTAAACCTTAGTCCGGTTCAGGCTGGAGAGCAGAATGTCCTAAAGGCCTCTGAGAGGCTGTGCAGGAACTCC